CAATAATAATGATAATTCTTTATAATGTGAGCATGCGCGCCAATAGCTGCCAGCCAACAACAGTTGGTTCAACAAAGCTACCTTAATATACATACATACTCGCACATACATAAAAATAAATATGTACATACGTATTCATGTATACATAAAGGGCCTCAAATGGATGGCTTCTAGAATCTAGATGCCCTCCAGGCCTTGTCTTCCTTCGCATTCATAAGCCACCGCTACAATCCTACTACAGTTAGATGCAGTAGCAATATGATTAAAGACGCATCAATCAAAATCAAAACAAATCGAGCTGCGATTAAAGCGCAACCTGGTCACGTGATAAGTCGGAACTAAAATGTGCGACGACCAGCGGTTGTATTTTACTTGCAATAAACCTCAAATTAGCGTGCACCAAAGCGTCAAGGCGAAAATAATTAAAATCGAATTATGCATCTACAAACTATTTATGAAACAAGTAGTATGTACTATACGAACATTCATATGAAAATCTGTTAAAAAGGCATCTAATCTGAATAGAATTAAAGCTGAAGAAAGCATACAATTTTAATATGTACCTTTTTGATTGCATATATTTGCATTATCTTTCTGTGTGGACCACTGCGGAACTGAGATTTAAATTGACTTGATAAATAAGCACCAATACAAAGGAATTGTGTAATATAAATCAATATATTCATGAACAAATATAAATATTTTCATTTTAAAACTGAGCGATCCTGTCGATGATTGAATTAGGGTCTAGAAATCTTCATAATGAAGATAGATGATACGGACACAGTATTGTTTAAGTATTATTCGCGGTCCATGACCATGAAGAAAGGCACTTTTTATACCCTGTACCCGTAGGGTAAAAAGAGTATATTAGGTTTGTGCAGAGTATGTCCACATTTCAAATGCTACCTAAGCTAAACTTTGCACACATAATCAATATATAATTGTCTACTGTTGTTTAAAATTTTATTCAATTCGGTCAATTCTAAGAAAAGTTATTAGCGAGAGCCAGTACAACCCCCCAAACTGCAGCAACAAGTTCGCTCTTCTTCTTCCTCTTTTTGCTGCTGCTATGGGCGCATATAACTCAGTGACGGAAGTTTACCTGGGTACCGGGTATTTATCTGTCGGGCTTGCTCGACTCTATCGTTCTCTCTTGTTAATTTTCAAACCGTGTTATATCAAAATCGTGTAAAAAACCGCGTAAAAACAGAATTAGGTGTAGACATACATATGGGTGTATACTCATTTATATGTTGTGCAGTTGCATAAGTTGACCAAATGACTTTGCCAAATTGTAAAGCTTTTCATTCTAGAAATTGCTCGACTGTAGCGTTCTCTCTTGTTATATCCTGTACATGAAATATGCAAAGGTATATAAGGTTTCTCCAAAAAATTTGAAAAATGTAACACACAAAAGGAAGCAAGGCAGACCCCACAAAATATATTCTGGATCAGCATGACAAGTCCAGTCGATGTCTGTCTGTTCGTATGAACACATAGATCTCAGATACTTCTCTTATAAGAGCTAGAGACATGGCGTTGAAGTAGTATGTATATATATGTTATATATTTTCTTGATCAGAAATTGAGAGAAATCAAAAAAAGGATAACAAACTCGTATAGCATACACACATATGACATCTTTGTGCAAAATTTGGTATCTTTAGCTCTTATAGTCTCTGAGATCTAAGTGTGCATACGGACGGACTAACAGGCATGGCTAGATCGACTCGTCTTGTCAGAATATATATATTGTAGTTTGTGGGGTCTGCCACGCCTCCTTCTGCCTGTTACATTTTCCTAACCTAATATACTCTTGTATAATTCATGTTCAGAGCATAACAAGTGGAGAAGCTCCAGTCTGGTGTCCCGACTTTGAAATACTAAATAATAAATATATAAATAGTATTAACCAAAGTGAAAAATGAACGAAATTAAAATAAGAATTTGTTTTTCGTTTACACTGAAGTAAAGTTTTTTTTATGTACTACCTTTTAAAATCTTGCTTTCACCAATCTCTAGGGAAATCTATGATCAAAATTAAAATTAAATTAAAATTCTTTTCCACAAGTTTGTTTTAGAGCGCCAAAGACAAAAGGTGTAGCTAACGGTAAAAAAAAGGTTACGCTGATCACGTGATCTAATCGAAACCAATTCACCATAGGCTCTTATACAAGTACAACGTCGTCTATCTTCATGGTATTTCACTGTGGGGAGCGCTCCACTGTAACACTCTCTCTATTCCTAACTGCTTCCATCTTCTGCTCCTGCTTTAAAGAACGGAGGGTCACACAGGGAGACAGACAGATAAACGCGCGTTCGTCTCAATCTCAACTACCCAACAGATGTTGGAGTGGGCAATGCGCTATTCGAATCAGAGAATTTGAGCAACTGCAACAACAACAACAACGGCATCTTAGCGCAGAAACAACTGTTACCTCTAGTAAAAATAAGATAGGTTTCAGACTCTCTGTGAAATTGCGCCATTGAGTCAAAAAGTCGTAGAAAATTTGGCCTGAGCTCGCGTGCACTATCCACAGTTGGGCGCAGGGGATGGAAACACTCGTAGTCGGACCTGGCAGTGGTTACACCAACTGTAGGACACAAAATTGTGAGCAGTGTTTTCGTTGAATAACCGCAACGCAGGTCGAAATACAATAATTTGGCTTAATGCGGAAACACAGGCAAGCAACTTGGCATCTTTTTCCTTGTCTGTGACAGCTGTTGCCTTCTTTTGCTGGCTGGGTCAAGCTGCCTGTTACATTTTCCTAACCTAATATACTCTTGTATAATTCATGTTCAGAGCATAACAAGTGGAGAAGCTCCAGTCTGGTGTCCCGACTTTGAAATACTAAATAATAAATATATAAATAGTATTAACCAAAGTGAAAAATGAACGAAATTAAAATAAGAATTTGTTTTTCGTTTACACTGAAGTAAAGTTTTTTTTATGTACTACCTTTTAAAATCTTGCTTTCACCAATCTCTAGGGAAATCTATGATCAAAATTAAAATTAAATTAAAATTCTTTTCCACAAGTTTGTTTTAGAGCGCCAAAGACAAAAGGTGTAGCTAACGGTAAAAAAAAGGTTACGCTGATCACGTGATCTAATCGAAACCAATTCACCATAGGCTCTTATACAAGTACAACGTCGTCTATCTTCATGGTATTTCACTGTGGGGAGCGCTCCACTGTAACACTCTCTCTATTCCTAACTGCTTCCATCTTCTGCTCCTGCTTTAAAGAACGGAGGGTCACACAGGGAGACAGACAGATAAACGCGCGTTCGTCTCAATCTCAACTACCCAACAGATGTTGGAGTGGGCAATGCGCTATTCGAATCAGAGAATTTGAGCAACTGCAACAACAACAACAACGGCATCTTAGCGCAGAAACAACTGTTACCTCTAGTAAAAATAAGATAGGTTTCAGACTCTCTGTGAAATTGCGCCATTGAGTCAAAAAGTCGTAGAAAATTTGGCCTGAGCTCGCGTGCACTATCCACAGTTGGGCGCAGGGGATGGAAACACTCGTAGTCGGACCTGGCAGTGGTTACACCAACTGTAGGACACAAAATTGTGAGCAGTGTTTTCGTTGAATAACCGCAACGCAGGTCGAAATACAATAATTTGGCTTAATGCGGAAACACAGGCAAGCAACTTGGCATCTTTTTCCTTGTCTGTGACAGCTGTTGCCTTCTTTTGCTGGCTGGGTCAAGCCGTCGTGGTCCGGGTCTGAGACAGAGTCGTGCGTTTGCCACGTGTCGTTGGCAAGCACATTGGCCAATTAATAATGTGCACGAAAATAAACTTGCGATTAGTCGAAAGTTTTCAAGTTTCGAGTTGGTGAAATATATGCACAATAGTCTGCAGCAATAGCAGCTGTAGAATCAATCAAAAACTTGTCAAATAACTGTCAACGATGCCCAGGGCTTGCGCATACGAAATTCGCGCGCATGCATAAACGATGAGTACAGGATATCGATATGATAGGGACTCGGCGTATCCTTTTTTGTATTTGTATCGAGATATTTGTATACATTCATGTATGTACATGTATATGTTTATGCAAATTCTTTTAACTCAGTTTTATACTCTTCTCTGAAAAGTGTAATGGTATATTGTATTTGGTGTATGAGTTTGCAACTTCCAGAAGGAAATGTGGTAGACCACATCTTACGCCCTATGATCGTGCCATAACTTAAATAACTGTCATAATAGAAAAGCTTTTGTGTGGTTTACCCTGTTAAAAGCGTATACTAGTTTATTGCGAATATAGGTAAGTATATATATATATATATATATATATATATATATATATATATATATATATATATATATATATATATATATATATATATATATATATATAATTATGTGTCTGTGTATGTCTCGTGTGCCTGAGCAAAGTAGTAACAACAACAACAGCTGCGGGCACTGCTTGGTCTTATGCACATATATGGCTATAACTTCCTGTTAAATCGGCCTATCATTATGAAACTTGGCATTTGGACTTATAATCGGAGGTATAAATGGAGGTATTTGCCAAGTTTGAGTTTGAAATTCCAAGAATTACGGGAGTTACGATTTGTAGGGGAGAGGAAGGGAAATTCCAAAATACACATTTTCTGCGTATTCACATAAGGCTTCTTGGACAAATTTGGTGTTCCTACGTCTTATAGCGTCCGAGATATAGGCGATTTTACGAATGGAAAATCAGGAAAACCCCCATAGGGGGAAAGTGGGGGAAAATCAAAAAAATAAAACAAACTTGCTCAGCGTACACACATAAGCCATCTTTGTGAAAAAATTGGTGTCTCTACCTCTTATAGTCTCTGAGATCCAGGTGTTCATACGGACAGACGGACAGACAGACAGGGCTGATCGACTCGTCTTGTCACGCTGATCAAGAATATACATATATACTTTGTGGGGTCTGCCACGCCTCCTTCTGCCTGTCATGTACAGAGTATAAAAATGTCATTGAAAACTATGTGTTTTATTTTAATTTAGAGTTATATACCGCCTTAAAATCAGTGTTAAAACGTTTTTGCAAAATGATTTTCATGAGCTTTCAAAAAGTCTCCATTAGGCACAACAAATGTTTATAAGCATATTAATTATATAAGCCAAGTATAGTTTAGTACTCTTCATATTCGCCGCATTGCGTTGTCTATGCGCAGTTGGCGCGCTCATTGCTCAGGAACTCATTAATCTGAGCCACCAGTTTATTGGTGCAATCCTCAGCTTGTTCCACTTGTTTCAGACCTCTTTGGCGCGTGCCAACTAGCAATAGACTGGCCTCGTGCAATGCCAGACTCATGTTCTGGTTGATTTCGGTGATGCGACGCATAAAGCAGTTGGTACCGCCGGCAAAGGACAGGTCCACGGTTTCCGAGCTTATGAGATGACAAAAGGAAGGCAGCTCAGCAATTTGTTGCACGTATGTTTGCACATTGTTCACAATTTGCTTGCCCTCGCTGCTAAAGGACGTAATGGCGGTCGTCAAGTTCACCGTACAGGCAGTTAACTGCTCCGTAACGTTGGCCGTAAATTCGTCCAGATTCCAGTCGGAATTACAGTTAGGATTTGCAAGAAATAGCTCATTGGTGGCATGAAGAGCATCACTGAGTTGTTGCATTCCCGTTGCTGTGATAACTTCGATATTGCCTGTCAAATCCTGTGCAGTGCGTTCCAACTTTGCCTGGAGTTGTGTGGAAGTCTCATCACTCACATTGACGGCAATTTGTGCTAGGTTGTCTAGCACTATGGTAACTGGACCATATTCAGTAGTCTCGGATGTGGTTACGGTTACGTTCCCAGTGTTTGCATGCTGTTCTCGTAAAAAGAAATGTATTGAAACGCTTAATTCTGTACATTAAAGGTATTGTTGAATAAATAAATTGCGCACCGTTTTTTTCGATTTTCACTAGCATGCTTTGATGTTTATAATGTTTGTACAATTAAATTAAATTGAATGTCCTAAGAATATAGTTTTCTCTTTAAAAAACATTTATTGGATTTATTTCTCAAAGCCTGGTGTGCAAATAATTTGCAGATCAGGCCGTATTCTAATTTATTAGCTCTCTTGGAGTGATGACGAATTTTCAATGTGTCTGATTTATTAGTAAAATGAATTTTCCCTGTTCTAAGATACTTCTGCTTACCGCTACTGCCAGAATGAAAAACGAAATCAACATTTGTATGGTGTCCATGATGTTTCAACGTTATGTGTCAAGCTTACCCAATTTGCTGTTTATATATGTATAATGGTGTTTTTTATCACGTCGTGTAGTCTTAGATAGTCATAGTCTGAGATAGTGGGAAACATGAACATTAACACAACTCTACCATTTGTCTAATCAAAGTCCAGCCACAAAGAGACTGCAAATGCGAATCAAGTATCAACAAATGTGTCATCAGTACCAAAATGTATTTTCCTTTGCTGTGCACGAAGCTGCTGGTGCTGCTGATGGACTTGGTCAGTAACTACAAAATCTTGTGATTTAATTGCAAAGATTCCCCCGTTTTTAAAAAAAGGCTTTAGGCTTTGAATAATTTTTAATTTGCAAAGATCTCCAATCGACATTATAACAACATTATTACACTAATAATTGATATGTGCATTTTATTGCAGTCCCAAATCAGCGGGGTGTTTTTTCAACCCCAACGAATCTTGCGTAAACACGGCCCTCTCTATGAGTCCGTAAGGTTGCTCATAGAGTCGCAAAGTTTGAGTGCCGCTGAAGCCTGGAAGAACACCGAGCAGCAGATAAATGAAAGCATATATCTCGTTCAGGATGCACAGGGCACGATGAACGCTATCCAGCAGAAGGTGAATGATCGTATGGAGCTACTATACTATAATCATCCACAAACCGTAGAGTTTCGCAAGTGCTTCAAGCAATACGAGCTGGAAGTGGGACACTTCAACAGAGATCTTCTAAGCCACTACAGTAGCTGCAAGCAGTCCCTGGATCTTCAGCTGGAACGATTTGAGCAGACGGTATTAGAACAGGCCAGCTTTATGAAGACGGCGGAAAGGCAGATTTCAGAGCTGGCCCACACATGTGATATAGCCAGATTGAAAAGGAACGAGAGCAACCATGCGGGTGTTCTGTTGTGCACGGTTGCCGGTATAGGACAGGTAAATAATCGGATGAGCTCGGCTTTGCTGCAGTGTTTGGATATAATGCTTGAGCTCTCTTTGGAACAAATGGAGACACAAAGTTGTAGTAGCTATGAGGAGCTTAACATGCAATTCGATGAAATTTATCAACAGATCAGAGCGTGTGAAGAGGAGCTTTACAATTCCTAACTCAGTATAAAAGACAATTGCAATCAATAAATAAAAACAAATCGGATATATAATTAGTAGGACAGCTCATAATTACTAGGTGTAGTCGACGCAACGATAGAGCTCGTTAACATCGCTATCGGAGTATGTACAGTCAATTGGTGGCAGAACTTTGCACTTAATACGATGAGTTATGAAGAATATGAATGCATAAGTTCATTTAAAAACAGTTTTTTAGGTTTTCAGCGTAGTGTAGTTCAGAGGTGAGCATGTTAGCCTGCTCTATCACAGGAATATTATTTAGCATCCTCATATGCAAGAGATATTAGCTTTATTTGCAGAGATCGCTCTTATCATTCTATTAGGCAATGTGTACGCGAAGAAGGGGTCATCTGGAGATAACCGTAACAATCAAATAAATATAATGTAAGCTCAAAGAATTATTGAGAGGAACCATGTTTTGATATTCAGAGGCTGCTGATAAATAACTGTAACTTGTAACACAAAGAAGAGGACACATGCACACACAAACACGCATAGACGCCAATCTGATGAAAATCCTTTTATTATACTCTGTACATGAAATGTACAGGCAGAAGGAGGAGACACAAAACTTTAGTCCCATTTGCATTATATGAATAGGCAGAAAATGTGTTAGTGTTAGTGTGCAGTTATAGACCCTTAACGTGGAGGTAAAAGCGATGAACCCAAGGGGTAAAAGACTATATTAGCTTTGTGTCAATGAATGTAACATATATATATATATATATATATATATATATATATATATATATATATATATATGCTTTGGTTCAACTTTGTACTGCATACATGCTCACACAGGCTCGCATAGACACGCCTACGAGTGATTATACACGCATTGACTCACATAGACACAATTCTTATGTAAATGTTCAGTTATATAACGTGTATATTTAAAAAAAAATTTGGAATTATTTTAATTTTATTAATTTTTCTACACATACATATTAATGTACAGAGTATTTCAGAGTCGGGACATCCGACTTCAGCTTCTCCACTTGTTTTCTGTTGCCTTTTGTTCATTCCAAATTTAAAAGAGTATATTGGTGTTATATTAGCAACTGATTAGAACCGATTAGCCTAGTCTAATCTTTAGGTTTAAAAAGTCGAGTGTGGTCAGCGTGAGGTGATAATACTTTTATGATGGCCCACGCATATATTTGATTCCAGATAAACGGCCACAATTGCGGTAGTGGGGGCTATAGCAATCAGCTAGTTCAGTATTTGATATCTCGCTAATATGAGTAGAGCTGGTAAAGTGTTGCTGCTGCTGCTCGCATGTGTCGTTTGCACTTGTTGTGGACATAATGAAATCGTCGACTTGCTCATAAAGCAAGAGGCACCTTCACTGTCCAAGACCGAAGTCGACGCCCTGCTTCCATTTTTTGAGGAGTTGCAAGTTCAGTACGACTTCATAACTAATCTGAAACTGCATGAGCCAGAGCTGATCGATGAAACTTATGTGGCGGTATTTGAGGAATTTAGAAATGAATTCGCCAGCTATATGAAGTATGAACCGAGCATTGTGTACGATACAGAGTTGCCCACCCTGGAGCATCTGATTGGTATTCATGCAGTTAATGGGTCGAAGCAGGAGCAGCTTGAATTTGAGGACTTACAGAGTATTATGCAGGATGTCATAGACGACGCCGAAGCGGGCATCGCTCAATTGGTGCAACGAGCACTAGATATTGAAAGGAATTTGCTGAAGCTCAATAAGCCCAAGATTATTATGGCAGCAATTAATGGATTAAACTCTATGTGGAATATTTGGGGGCATGCCATCCAAACTGCCTACTGCAGCTACTCCCATGTGCCGCAGTTAAAACAGGATCTGCATACCATTAACGGCGGAGTTGAATGCTATACCTACTCCATGTCGCTCATTTTGCGCGTGCAGCATGAAACGGTTGAGGCTGTCAAAAACATTAGGAAAAACGTTTCCGACTTAGTCACCGTATACAAGAAGATTGCTGCAAAGAAAACAATTACAGGGAAGATATTATCGGGCACGCTAAATCTATTTAAGACGCTACGTCGCCTGCACGATATTATAGCGATATGCCTTGATGGTTACGACAAAATCAATAATGAGTTGACCGGTGCAGCATTAAAGTCTGCGCAGTGCGGCGAAGAGTTCGTCTCTAGCGTACCACATATAATTGAGACGGTGCAGAATCTAACAGGGTGCATTCGATTTGTAGATCATGAAAAGTCAGACTATGAATTTATGAAGCCAGAGGAGGATCGCTATTGGAACATAGGCGAGCTACCACCAGAAATACCGCATGAAAATGATGTAGATGAGGACATGGAGACAGATGACGAAAACGATGAGGATGACTACATAGATCACCGATAATTAAAAACGACGTCAGATATAGAGTGTTAACTGTTCAATGAGTTCAAAAATAAAAATATTTCAATGCTAAAAAAATGTACAAATTTGTTATCCAGTTGCCAGCTATGTCTTTTCAATTCACAGCGAAGAATAGTCACACGGTGGGAAATAATTTTGAAGCCAGTCCGGCAAGGTAGTCCATAAAATGCAATAGAGGGAAAAGGCAGTTTGGGTGAGATCAAGTCGAAAAGAGCGTTAAAATTAGAGCACAAAACCCAAAAGAAATTGTGCATCCGTTTTCAGTTGTGCCCCACCTAGAGTAAGTAGTATACATAACATGTGGAAAATGTGGTTCAAATGTCTTTGGAAATGTGGGCAGTATTGGCGAAATTCTTCAGCGGGGACGGTTAGTCAATGTGGGCTTAATGGTTTCCAAAATCTGTGAATGATATAAATATATACAAAGATAATGCAGACGGAGATTCTTTTTTTTTTTGCACTAAAAATACAAAATGAACATACAAAGAGTAGTAAAAGTCCAGCGCGATCAAGTTTCAAAAGGAGGAGGTCGAGTTAATAAGATTTAACTGCTGAACTGAATTCAGAATCGTATAAAATCGTCTTGCATCTTCGAAAACAATGCATAAATTCTTAACAGATTTTTCATAAAGTTGAGCAAAGGAGATTACAGTGTTAAACAAGAGAGAACGCTACAGTCGAGCAAAACCGACAGTGAAATACCCTGTACCCAGACTTCCGGCTCTGAGATATATAAACCCCTAGCAGAAGCAAAAAGAAGAAGATCTAGAATTACCCGATGAAATTTAAAACAAAGCTAGATAATTATATATAAATTAAGTGTTCAAAGTTTGGTTGATGTAGCTTTTGAAATGTGTACGGTATTGATGGTATTGTTGGGGAGAACGGGGGGATAATTCAAAAAAGTAAAATAAACTCGTAAAGACTAGGGCCTAGGAGCGTTCATCCAGACAGACGGACAGACGGACATGTCTAGATCTGTTTCTCTCGTCATGCTAGCTAAGAATATATATACTTTATGGGGTCGGAGATGCTTCTTCTGCCTGTTACATACTTTGCACAAATTTAATATACTCTTTTTACCCTACAGGTACAGGGTATAAAAACAGTTTAGTAACCCTACTTTCTGACGCCCGACACATCATAAAAGAAAATACCGGCATTACAAGCAAAAGAGTGTATATCCTTAAAAATTATATAAGAGCCGAACTAGTACACGGTTTCGTTATTTAATACAAAACACACATGTGTATTTCCATAATGAGAGCTTAAAATAAACATACGTATTTAGTTGACTAGACATCGCTCTCTTTGAGCTGGCGCACGTATTGCTCGCTCAGAGATTTATTCAAACGTTCGCGACTGGAGTTCATGTTGGAAGCTGTCGCCTGGGGCGAACTTTGTGACTTGTGCACATAATGACTAGTATTTGATATATCTTTTGGTTCGGCTGGGCTGGAAGAGCTGCCGCCTAGTATGTTCGGCAGCCCTATAATGTCGGCATCGGCCAGCAATGGCAGTGTCTGACGACACAATGTAGATAAGGCACTTCCAGTAGGTGAGTCCTTCGACTTTTTACCACTTCCGCCACCTTTTACTCGACGCAGTTTTGATGCCAATGTAGCGAATCCCAATTTGCTCGATATCTTGCCAGAACGGCTGACTGAACGTGGCAAGCTATCGTAGGTACTGGTGCCCGTGCTCACCTGGTCCTGATCCACGGCCACTTCCCGCTGCTCCTCGGTGCTGATGGTGCCGGCACTGATGCTCTTGGTTAGGAGAGTTGCACCGCGCATAACTGTAGGTAACTCTGCCGATGTGTTCTGCCCCTGCCTCGCCGTAACGGGTACGCTTTGTAAAAATTGGGCACGTGCGCGCTGCAAACGCAAAGCGCGCTCCGACAAAGGGGTCACTGGTCGGTCATTCGCGGGAAGCACTACGGAATTTGTATCGATGGCGGGTGGAAACTCAAAATGTTTCGGCGTGGTTGGGGTGAGTGCCTTGCCCTCAAGCTTGCGATGTATGCGCGGCAATGTGTTGTCAAGTTTATTGGGTAAAGTACGAGTAAGGGCCGTGGAGATGTCAAGAATGGCCACGAAATCGTCAGGAACAGCCACAGCCGACCCCGAACTAGTCTTAGCTATTTTATGTTCTATTTTGTTGCTTACACTCGCGCTATGCGATTTGTGCAGCGAGTGCTTCTTGTACATATGCTCTTTGCGTGGAAGCGGCGTTTGTGGCGAGTTAAATGATAATTTTGACAACTGTTCTTGCCTGACCAAAGTCTTGTTAATGGTGCGTATGCTGTCGGTGGCTAGCGGCGGACGCACCAGCGGTCTCTTAGTTAAGTTTTCGCTGCTCTGACACCTGCGCTGTTCCTCGTTGATTGCCGGAGCAGACGTCAAATGTTCCAAGCTGATAGACCTATAGAGATGCACTGGGCGGGACTGCTCGCCACGCGATAACACAGAAAGCGGAAAATTTTCTTTCACGCTTAGTGTGGAGTCCCCTGGAAAGTCTTCCAGTTCCTTCTCAACTACCGCAATTCCTTCGGCAGCTTGGGGCTCCACAATGGTTGTAAACATCTTCCGCTTTGTTTTTACAAACACATTCGCATTAGTATTGTAGTTTAGGGGGTGGATGTCGGGCAGCGGCGGGGGAACGAAGGCAAGCCCGGTTGATTTTATCACTGGTTCTATAGAATTCATTTGCGGCACAGAACTACCAAAGGTCTGACTCTCCTTAATGGGCTCACCGGGCTTCACTTTAAGCGAGGTGTACAGAACGTCGACTTGCGGGCTCGATAATTCCCGCGGGTCAAGAGCAATGTCATCTGACCGTAAACGAAAGTCATCGTCTAAGGAACGCTGCTTAAGACGAAAATTCTTGCGACGAATGCGACGTGGGGTCTCCAGAACACTATGGGTGTCCGCATCGCTACTGTCACTCTCAGTTTTGCTATTCTGGCGCGATCCAAGTTTGCGAAGACGCAGTTTCTTTTTAGTACCATTGCAGGTTGTATTTGCTCCGGCAATTGAGTCGCCTCGATATACGGTGGTGCTCGTCTCAGTTTCGTTCTCCACGTGCGAGGTACCACTCTGTTCGTCTCGAGCGTCAATAGGGGTGGACAGCTGATCACGACTGGAATTATCGCAGGTGGCATAAGCAGGAGATTCCAGACCATCCTCCGTCGTAATATTAATATCTGGCACTATGTCGCGTAGATATCGATTTGTGCCACCCTCTGCAATCAAAGTGACCCATGGACCTTGCAAATTGTTTTTTTTTAGTAACACACTTACGTATAGCCAGCTTAAGACATTCTAGCGACTCGTGTAGTCCGATTAATTCATCAATGTACTCCTGTGTGCGTTCCTTCATGGTCTCTTGACAGCAAGCCTCATCCAATGGCGATTTGTGTCTCTGCAATGCAAGAAAACGTATCTTTACACTTTAATTTTTCCACTTGGCTCGATCTACTACCAAATCACTCAGACGACCCAGCTCGCTCTGCACATCGGATATTGCATTCAGCACATTTGCCTTCATAAGGTTGTTGGAGTAATACGGATAAATGGTGCGAATGCTTAGAAATGCCGCTTGACAGTCACGCAGCGCCGAATGCTCCAGAATCTCAGGCAGCTGCTTAAAGTAAGTGAATAGCTCATCGGCTCGTTTGAGTACGCCAAGAAGCGGTGCCAGATTTGTATGCGACTCAAAGCTCTGCACACGCCGGGAATTGCTGCAACGAAAGCAAAAGTTGAATGAGTTTAATAAGCTCATTTTTAATCTTTTCAATGAACCTTCCCAATCCCCCGGCTAAGTTTTTCCTTTCAAAAAATGTGTCCGAAGCTTAAAAAATGAATACAAAAACCCTACCACAATCTAAGACGTTTTCAACGCCTTTATTTATTTATTCCGTCTAGTAATAATATATAACTACTCAATAAGTAGGACTACTCATTGTGGCCTCTTCCGGTTAAAAACAAATAGAAAAGCTAAAGTCGGGTGTCCCGACATTGAAATTCTTCGTACATATGTATATGTAGAATAATTAAGTAATTAAAAAAATGAATAAAATTAAAAAATTATTATATAATTTACATAGGAATCGAATCTATGTATGTGAGTGCATTCATGTCTATGCATGTCTATTCGTGTCTGCATGTATGCAGTACAATGTTTAACCTAGGCAGCAACAACAACATCAGCTGCGGACAGCCATTGGGCAGAATAACATATATAACTATAACTTCCTGCTAAATCGGCCTATCATGATGAAACTTAGTATACGGACTCACTAACTGGACGTACTTGCCAAATTTGAGTTCGAACACATTTTCTGCGTATTCACATACAAGTAAGACATCGTGGACTAAAATTTGGTGGCCCTATGTCTCATAGTCTCCGAGATATACGTGATTATACGAACGGCGTTTCCGGCGTTTCCCCATAGAAGTAGGGGGGAAATCAAAAAAGTAAAACAAACTTGCACAGACACACATTTGGTGTCTCTAGCTCTTGTAGTCTCTGAGATCCAGGTGTTCATACGGACGGACAGACAGAAGGAAAGACAGACAGACATAGATCGACTCGTCTTGCATGCTGACCAAGAATCCTTCTGCCTGTTACATTTTGCACCTCTCGTAAACCTAATATGCTTTTGTACATTTCATGTACAGAGTATAAAAATGTTATTAAAATATGCAATTGTTTAAGGAAAAATTTGTTCAAATATATCTATTCCAAAGGAGTTACTCACCAATAATCATTGCACTGCACCTCCTCATACTTGTAAATGGGCGTCTGTTGCTCTACTAGAGTGTGAGCGGTGACCAGTGGAGAAGCAGTGTCGTGAATGTGTTCCTCGACCTCCACCATGACAGCCTCCGGCTCATCGAATTTCTTGAACTCGTGCTCGGTATAAGCACTACCTTCAATATCTTTCAGTTCGTTGACATCGTTGAGTGACAAGGACGAAGCTTGTTGCGATATAGCAGGTACTCCAATGCCGGGCGCCATACTGTCTAACGACAATGAGCGGCTTAACGTGGGAGAGTGCTCGGGTTGAACTGAAATTGAATTAATATTGTATGGGTACGGGTATACAATTATAAGGAGTTATTTATGCATACCATTGTTGTTCTCTTTGTTGATGCGTCCGACATCTATGGGACAGTAGCCGGGATGCAGTAGCGCAAAAGTCGATGCTTCGGGTCCAATGCCTCTAGCCTTTTCCCATTCGTAAAGCTTTCGTGTGAATTTTCGCGAGATACCCTCGAATTTCATGACTTCGCCATCAGAAGTCTTCACTTCAATATTCTTGGTCGTATGATCGGGTGCTACGATGGCTTTCAAGCGCGCCAATCTGTAAATACTTAGTTCATAGTACCCTACATCTTTGTATAGGCGTTAGAATCAAACCAAAATTTTCTGTCGGGCCTAGTTCGACTCAGTTATAACTTAAGTTCGTATTGAACTGATAAAACACGTCTTTATCACCAAAAAATAGTAGTTTGATTCTAAATCCATTCATTATTCTGTACCCACTTTTCTTTATCATGAGGTTTGTGCTTGTACCAACGATCGTCATCCGAGCCGCGTCTCGTTGACTGACTATGCTTGGAGCCGCGCTTCAGAGTGTCGTTGTCGGAATTGGCACCACCACCCACTGCTCCACTTGTGCTCTTCAGCTTGTTCCATTGTTCTGCAAATTATGAGACGCTTAAGTCGTGGAATTAGTAACTTTTCAAATACCAATTTGTTACCCAATTTTTTCTGAAACTTTTCTGGCAAATTCTTTTGTTCGGGCAATGCGGATAAGCCTTGTCCTTCTAACTTCAATTGACCCGTGCTCCATAGGTTCCAATCGATTTTCGATTTTGTCTCACCACCTTGACTCTTTGTCGTGGGACTAACTGCCGGCTCTGAGGCAGAATAGTTTCCTGAGGCTTGCTGTTTGGCTCGCCACTTGTGCAGCTTCTTTTTAAACTCCGGTGTCAAGTTTTGCTCCAGTTCTGCCGTGGACATAAGCTCATTGTGTAGCACTTGGGTAGGCGAATGTTCCTCACTGCTTTTCTTGGCGCCGCGCAAAGTGCCACCTACAAAGTACATCACATTTTTAAAAGGTTCTGAAGGCATTATGTTTATCTACGTACTCCGGTTGATCGTGTTAAAGCGATCGAACTCGCGCTGCTTGTGCTTAAACTCCATATCTAGTTTGAGTAGTAGAAGTTGATAACGTTGAAATACTTCATCTTCTTTCTGTTGAAAGGTCTTACGATTTGGAGTGGTCGGCTCTGAGAAATCACCACTGGATAAGTCCTCGCTTTCTGTAAGAAACTTGTGAGTCGAGCTGGAAATTTAAACAACGCATTAACGTATCTATACCAAATTCACCGAAGAAATCCGAATGCCTAGAGGGACTGCTCGGGACGGATGAATTGCCGGGCGAATGGATTCGGCGCATTTGTGAGATGCCATCCTTGGGACTCTTTAGAAGTGGTGAATGAAGCTGAGGCAGGTCACTTGAAATCTGAATGTAAATTCGTTAAAAGAAGTGCGAATATATTTGATGCCGAATACTCTATTACACACTTAATTTATAAGTTTTGTAATTTTGTATATTTATATATATATTTTATATATTTTATATATATTATTTATTTATTTTTTATTTATTTATTTTATTATTATTTCCTAGTGCAACAAGAAATAAATTCTTATAAATTAATGCACTAGTCACTAGAAACATACAATTTTCATTAAACAAATTTAAGACGGTTTGATTAACCTGCTTAACCTATTTTATAAAATTGAAGTTAAATCTAATAGACTATATTATGTTGTAGATATTTTATGTTGTTAGTTACTTATTTTTAAGAACAAATTTAATTTTTCCCTAAATTGCGATGCACTACTAATTTTCTTTAAATATTGAGGTAGCTGATTCCACAGGCGAATAGCATGAATAAAGAACTGCCGTTCAGAACAGCCAAGATTGTATCATATACTGTTTATATTATTGGTTCTTGAGGATGCACTAAAACGTAGTTTTTCAAATAAATAGCACGGTTCTCTGGTATATATAATTTTATGCATCATAATTAAGTTTCTAGAATCTACCCATGTTCTAAACTTCATATGGTAAATGCTGTGTGCCAAACTGGATATGTGCTCTCCCCTCTTTACATTATAAACATATCGGGCTATATTATTATATGCTACATTTAGTTTGTGCTGAGAGGCACTATCGCAGTTACTAAAAATTTCGATACCATAGCAGAACGTGGGTATCAGATAGGTTTTAGCGATTAATAGTCTGATATCTATGGGCAAGAATTGCTGAGTCAACGAAAGTTGTCTGAGTAAGCCATAAGTTTTTCCTGCAGCCTTGGATATGTGATCACTTCAGGACAAAGAACGGTTGAAGGTGATACCAAGATTTAGAATATGATCCACGTATTCAATTTGTGCGTTATTGAGTGATAACTTAGGTAAATTTTCCGTACTAAGTAACTTTTTATATATTATAATGCATTTCGATTTACCAGGATTTAGTGACAAGCCATTGCACTTAGCCCATTTACTAACATTTGACAGTTCATCATTGCATAAGTTCACACACTCATTTATACTACGTAACGGACAACTAACATACATTTGGGGAGATCATTAAAATATAACGAGAAGAGGAGTGGACCAAGGATTGAACCTTGGGGTACTCCACGTTTTACAGGTAGAAATGTTGATATAGCACTATCGGTTGTCACAGCTTGGCTTCGTCCATGTAAATAGGACGATATTAATTTTACAGCACTGCTTGTAAAATTAAAGAATTTGTGTAACTTAGTACATAAGATATTATTATTATTATATTATATACTAGCAGGTATTGCCCGTCTTAACCCGGCTCAATATAATGTTTCCAATTGTATTTATTTTGTGTGTGCATAACCTACCCATATGTTTTCACCTTATAAGTTACCAGTAGGAAGGCATTTAAGGTATTTAAATGAACATTTTCTGTTCTTGACAAAAAATTGTTCAGTAGTCCGTTACATTTTTGTTCTTGCCAAACTATTTCGTTCAACGAACATGACCACTATAACTAATATTTTTTAAAGCTCGTTTTCCCCCGTTGGAGCTAGAATTTTCCCAAAGGCTTTCTTAGTGTGCTCCTACACTATGATGGATACTATGAAAAGATACTTGAGTCCAAATTTCATCTTTTACCGTTTGGGCTGTGCGTTGATCACCAATTAGTCAGGACAAACTGTTTTATATATAGAGATAACGCAACGTTTTAAGATAGACGATTTGCAAAAAAGGGGGAATAATTATAAGGGTATATCCTAATTTTAAATTCACATTTGAGCCTTTTCGTGTCATATTGAGTCAATACGGTCACGCACAAACTCGGAATATGAAACACGGCACTCGTGTCAATGCCGTGCAGCGATGAGCCACGATCAAAAAGCACTGACAATTCTCATCTCAATTTGCTAGAGTAAAACTTTCGATAGTTGAAGCCACCGATACCATCAAAATATCGAAGTTTGAATGCAATAAGCAGAATATTTAAATAATAAAATCTAATTATTTATTGAGATCAATAAGAACAAATCATACATACATACATCTGCCCGCAATGCGAAGCAGAATATGCGTATCTCCGTTATTCGGTTTCTGCTTTACTATCGCTTACGCAGTCGTTGCTTAGCGACGGTAACTGTAAACTTTTGGCGTTTTGCCTTTGCAATTAACATTAAATGGTCAAAACGAAAGAAGATGTGCGAGCCAACAACTTAAAGTTGTTGTTGTTGTTTTGTATGTACATGCTACATACATATACAGGCATACATACATATGCATGTACATATGTATGTATGCATGGGCACACATAGACACGAACTGTTGCTTGTTGTATGTATGTGTGAGTGTGTGTATGCGATGTCCCCAACTATTTGATATTTGATATATGGCAAGTAAAAAACATATTGCTATATTTTAATCGTTGAATGCCAATTTGTTGATATAATGTTGATTACATTACCCAAATTTGAAATCGATCGGACAAAATTTATAACACAAACTATTCATTTGAAAAAGTGAATAAATATTAAAACCCCAATAATAAAATTAAATGCGATATATCGAAAATATCGATACTTGTGTTGATATATCGTAATACATGTCGAATACAAATACATCGAAAAACATCGTTTGAGAGTTATTGATTATAATACTGTATTCGATTGTTCACTGTACACATATGTACATACATACATACAAATGTATTTGTGTGTGTACGGTAACTGTAAACTTTTGGCATTTTTCGTATGCAATTAACAGCCGTAAATTATCAAAACGAAAGAAGTTTTGCGAGCCAATAACTTGTTGTTGTTGTTTTAAAAATTTTGATTTGAAAACATAGAACACTATTTATTACAATTAAACAACAGTGTTCGATGGCCCACTGCATACATACAAACCTATATATGTATATAAGAATGTATGTACGTACATACATACTTATTGATGTACATATGTACATACTATACATACAGACGTATGTATATATGTATGTACGTATGTAATACATATGGTGCTGGTGTAATTCATAATGCGAAATTCTTTCTAAGGGGAGCAATGTCCCCCCTGCCCAACCTGCGTACGCCCTTGTAGTCCGTTGTCCTAAAATCCCTTATGCCAAATGTACTAAACAAAGAAAAAATAACATAAAAATGTTTATGTTATAATGTTAATAATTTTTAATTAATTAACATTTCTTGCCCTGTCAGTGCAAGACGAATGTACTTTTATACATATGTATGTATGTATATATGTACATACATTTGTACAAATGAACATTCACACATTTGTGTCTCACATTTTGCTTTGGCTACTTCAACCGTTTGCACGCAACTACACGAACAGCTGCTTGTATATATGTATGTGTGTGTGTATGTATACTTAGTTGTCCCCAACTGTTTGATATTTTGTATTGTTTGTTCTGCCTGCATTTGTAAAATGCATATTTTAAAAATCGTTAAATGCAAAGTTGTAATTTTAGTTACGTAGATTATATTACCCAAATTTGAAATCGATCTGACAAAATTTATAACACTAACTTTTCATTTGAAAAAATGAATAAATATTAAAACCCCAATAATTCAAGCTCCAACACAAATTTCGAGTATGCAGTTTTGTTTGTATTCTTTTATAGATTATAAAAACCAAATTTAAAGTTGATCGATTCAGAAATGCAGAATTTTCAAACAAACTTTGGAGCTACTTTTCCCCCCTTTGGAGCTCGAATTTTCCAAAATCCCTTCTTAGTGCGCATCTACACCATGATAGGATACTTGAGCCCAGTTTTCAGTTTCCTAGCTTTTACCGTTTGGGCTGTGGGGTGTTGATTGTGTTTCAATTTTTCCACGGAAAACCCCCCCTTTTTCATGCCCCAGGAAAAATGGTGAAAATCCAAGTATACAGTTTTTTTTGTATTCTTTGTGAGAGTATACAAACTAAGTTTGAAGTTAATCGGATAAAAATTGTAGCTTTTTCATACAAACGTTGGAGCTCGTTTTCCCCCCTTTGGAGCTCGAATTTTCCGAAACCCCTTCTTAGTGCTCACTTTCACTATAAGAGGGATCTTGTGTCCAAATTTCAGCTTCCTAGCTCTTACCGTTTGGGCTGTGCGTTGATTGCCAATCAGTCAGTCAGTCAGTCAGTCAGTCAGGACAAACTGTTTTATATATATAGATTATGTTCTTACTTCCTCTTCATATATGCACATGACCAATTAATGTTCCAAAGCAAATATCGCTTAAGCTTAAAATTATTGCTACATTAATTCAATGGTAATTTTTGCTGCCTGCTTTAAAAAGATTTTCATGGTAGATAAGTGTCCTTTGGTGGATGATATTTCTTATTTTTCCCAAGACTATCGGGCAGCTTTGGTTACAAGAACATTAAAATGGAAGCTTACCTGATTTAGATTTAAAGGACTGGGTGGTGACTTTGTGCGGCGGCTGGCTCTTGCTTTAATTTCTGCCACATGATCCTCCGGCAATACTTCAAAATCCGAGAAAGCCTTTGACCGACGTAGTGATTTATTTGATGAAGATTTTGTGGGCAAGCCGATTACGGACTTTGCTACATCCAAGCGTTCATCCGTTGCGGATTTTCGGAGTTCCACAACACCGGACTCAAAATTGGAGGTGTGTGAATCGCACCTGGTATCACTCTTGGATGAATCTCGACCTGAAAGTATAGCACAAGATTAGCATGAAGAAGCCACATTTTACTGCAGTCGTACGCGTTGTATGGCGGCACCTCGCGTCTAGATCGTCTACAGAACTGGATGAGCTTATAGTACCCGGTGTACCGCCTGTATCGCTTACAAGAAAACCGGACGAGGAGCTTATAATGCTGTCTGCTGAGCTACTGCCTCCTGCTGCTGGTTTCATGGGCACTTTCAGGTATCTGGTTGTGGACAAAATAATATGCAGAACGATCATAAAATCCACTCGTCTCAATGTAGCGAACCTTTCTACTTCGTTATTTACGGGCAACAAAACATCCGGGTCATTGGGATTAGGTGGCGGCACATTAGCACGTTCCCACTTAAAGGCAGCTTTAACCTTGGTCCACTTAGACACCTTAGATTTATTGTCGCTATACGTGCTTTGCCTTCGCAACAAATAGGGCCGCGATGAGAGGTTTTTCAATGTGCGGTCCTTGCTAAGATATAAATTAATTTCATCCTCCATCATGGACTTGCTTCGCTCGCGTATTCTATTTCAAAACAATGAAATCCTCAAAATCGCTTTTTTAAAGATTAACATGCCACATACCGCTTGAATTTTCCCTGTTTGACAGGTTGGGCGGGCACAACTTCTGTGCCCAGTAGGGACTCCAATAGTGTCAATGAGCGCTCCAATTCGAATTCGCCATCGCAATTGCTCGGCTCAGTCGTTACCTTTGTGCTGGCTGCACTCTCCCTTCTCCAATTTCTGCTTGTCTCCGGCTGCTGCTCCTCCTGTGACTCATCCTCGTCTGTTATGGTGGCCAGTTTCTTTTCCAGAAAGCCCTCCAACAGCACGTAAGTACGGCTCAGCTCATCCATGGCATCTATGGCTGAGCTGAGACGACTCTTCAATGGCTCGATAGTTGCGCGATCAGCTCGATATGGCTGACAATGGAAACAGCTGTGCTTGCCATGCGCCGCACAGAATACGGCACATGATGGCAGCTCCAGTTCTTCACGTCGCGTCGAGTTTGGCGAGACGGACTTGTTGCGTGCAGTCGTCGGCACAACCGGAAATTGGAATATATTGTCATCGCCCCGACTGCAAAGCACCGGGGGCGCTGTGGGTAAGGAATCATAGTGTAAGGCGTTCGACTTTTGCCGAGCCACAGCAGCGCGCGTCCGCTTCGGTTTCGGCGGCGGTTGTAGAGTTAGTGGAAGCGACGCCTCGGCCATGTTGTGGTTGCGGTTGCGGTATAACTAACAGAAGCCAGTTTGTTTACGTACACAGTATATGTATGTGTGTGTAGATGGAACGATATATGCGCGTATTGAAATTCTCGATGGGATTTGTTTGTTTACCTTTCGAAATACGCCACTAAAAACGCACGAAAAAGAAACAACTAAGAATTATCAAAATTCAAATTTGTTTATAAAAGAGGAAGACAAATGTGGAACGTCCGATACTATAGTCTGAAGAGTATGTCCACACACACGAGCACACTCACTCACCAACACACTCACATCCGCTCCTCTCATGCACACATGGGGTGTGTTTTCGAATGCCTCAAGTGTAACGATTAAAACATAGAAAATGTAAACTGTATTTTTGAAAAATCAAATTCAGCACGTTTTGCCACATGTGCAAAAGTTTTGGATTGTTTAACTATACGAGTAATATTTACGAATGTGGCTATTTAATATAATGAGCTGCAAGCACATATATACATACATATACATATATGTAAATGAATTCGAATGCACTTTGTGCTACATGCTGCTCAGCTTCCACAGCGCACAGCGAAGAGTCTGAAAATCACATAAAATGGAAACAATGCCATGAACTATTTTTAAAACGCTGACACTCTTTTGTTTGCCCACCACAGCCCCATCGACATCCATATCATTTGAAGTACGCACATTTCCTTTTGTGCTTTTAGGTTACACGCAATTAATATTTTCAATTTGTATACGTCTGCATGTATGCTCATTTATACTTACCCACATATGTATGTATTTCCATATATGTATGTACCCTTTGGCATTTGGGAAGGGGGCACTTACTTTCACTGGCATTTGCCACTTTCCGATCGTTATATCAACATTGAATATACATTTTTAGGCGGCTACGTTCAGATGAATGCGCATAAGGCCATAAATAAATGCAAAAGGTCTTAATTAGGTGTGTGATCTCAACGGATACGCGGAGCTTTGCCTACTTTTTTAACGAGGATTATTACTTGCACATTTATTATGCACACGTGCGTCCTCGCCCACCTCAAGAAAGAATTATTTTCACGATACTGCAATACTATTTTCGCAGTTTTTCACCACCCGAATGTTGAAGCGTTCCTCTCCGTTCGTTGGTCAAAGCTATTCTAAGAGCCGATAAACGATGTATGCCTTTTCATCTGCAAGGGAAAATTTAAAAATGTTGGATTTATATATAAAGGCGTGCTCTTCCAATTCATAATTACTCAATTTCGCTCAGCAGGCACACTAGTCTCTTGATTAAAATTACACATTTCTCTTATTTATTCGCCTATTTCAAACGAATAATTTTAAGATGAAAATACATACATATCAATGTTTTTGTATCACTAAGATATTTTAAGTGTATAGTAGCAGCATAGAGTGAAAATATAATATTATTAAGGTTGGGATCACTAAAGGTAAACTTTTTTCAAATACTAGTATATACATAGCAACATACTCATGTAATATTATTAGGTATCCATAATTCATATAAGTCTAAGCCATCAGATGATTTATGCAGTAATGCCCTTTGTTTTCCGATACTATTATCATTAATAAAGTGATTCCCATTAGATACAAACGAATTAATTATTTTATTAACAAGTTTTATAGACACAGTTTCTAAAATTGAAATGTAATGTACTTTTTTTTATGTCACCATACCCAAAGGGTAAAATGGTATGCATACTAGTTTACAGACGCACTCCACAAATTATATATGTACATATGTATGTACATATGCTTATTTTACTTCAGTTTTACCCAACAAGTCGTTATAGCCATGTCTGTGTGTCATCCGTCTGTGTGTATGAACGCAAGGATCGCAGGATGTGTCACAGCTATGTTTTTTAAATTAATATAGATACTAATTTTTTTATTTTTTATGTACCCATTGTACAGGAGATGGCCCCGCTCAACTTTCGTGCTCTTCCTTTATTACAAAAAAATGTTTTATTTATTTTCTTAATGAGGGACTAAAACTATAAATCTGAGTCCCACAATTCATTCGACAGAAACGACTAATACGAGCTTGCGCAGATAATTTTTTAATGTATTCATTATTTAGTTGAATGTAAACAATTAAAATTGCTGTTCAATGCTGTTAGCTAAATCAAAAACTTGAAGTATATTATGTTATTAGGAATAACACAATATACTTCAAATAACGATGTTTTTGATTTTAACTACCCGGCTACCGAATTTCGGAGCGGGTCAGTGGCATACCAGGTAATTCAATTTACCATATTATTACTTCATGTGCAAAGTACCTACCAGTGTGACCATAATCTAACATTCGCTATAACCACGATTTACGTTCGGTATTTTTAAGGGTGCTTATTTTTTTGTATTTTATTATGTCGTGCTGCCAGACTGGGCAAAATAGTACCAGGGCAACATTTTTGTGCATGTTATTGGCTATTTTTTATTTAAAATAGTGGCAGCCTAGCGTGCCGACAATGCGAGCTTAGGTTATGCAAAAGGTACTATTAGAAATATACCTACAGCTTTTTGATTAAATAAAAATGATGTCGCTTATGTCGACAATGCGTGCTCTAACCGTGCGCCAACATAACGGCGCTGTTTCCCGGTCCTTGCATTTGACAGCTATAATGGAAGCGGCAAGAAAAGGCACCCGCGAGAAAGCACGCAAAAAAAAGGTTAAAGTTGAGGTAAAGAAGGTTGGCTTCATACCACACAACCAGCGTGATAAAAAGTAAGTAAGAATGACATCTTACTATCAGCCAATCATAATAACTTCATGTTTATAGGATCAACGTGCAGCGTGCAGACAAGCATGTAGACGACTCCTGGAAGCAAATTCCCAAGGACAATGTTTACGTCGGCCGCTACTATCGCTGGCCCGTATACACAGTAGTCGAGGCCATAAAGTGTCATCGAGAGACTCACCATCCCAGTATGTACAACGTGACAAATGCGCCACTTAATGTTGAAATCGAGCTTAATATGCAGGGTGAGAAAGCCACAAGATTTGTCGATAATTTCCAGCGTATGGCGATGATACCGCACAAATTTGATCACGGGGAAGACCGAAAAATTATTGTGTTCACTAAAGGCAATGTGAGTATTAAAGGACTGGAAGTACAAATTGCAATGTAACTTTATCGTCCACAATAGGACGAAATTGCAGAGGCACGCGAAGCAGGCGCCTCTTTGGTTGGTGGAGTCGAGCTGATCAAGGACATCACAAACGGCGAGCTGCTGCTAACTGATTATCAGTACATAATTGCCCATCCAAACATTTTGGCGGAGCTTGTGGCGCTCCGTGGTCTTATGAAGCGTAAATTTCCAAATCCTAAAAGTGAGACTCTGGGCGTGAATTTGGCTGAAATGATAAATAAATTCTCCAGCGGCATTAGTTACAGTGCCATCAAGGATGAATACCAACAAAATTTTGGCTTAATAAAAACCAGTGTCGGCCCTTTAAGCATGAATGATCAACAGCTAGAAGAGAACTTGCGTTACCTTTTGAAGAATGTTGACAGCATGCGCCCCAGACGTGAGGGCCGATTCATAACGCGTGTGCTTCTCAAAAGCCCTCCGAGTAGCGAACAGCTGAAGATCGATCCGTTTTTGTATGTACCAGAGCTTTACGATAAAGGCGCAGAAAAAGTTAAGACCGAAGCAGCCCGAGACTCCAGCAGGGATGAAGACACAACGGAGAAAGTTGTCGCAACTTCCGCGAATTAGTGATTAATCTGGCTTCTTTGTTGGAATTAAAGTCATTTATTGTTGAGATGTATTGTGCATACGCAGCAGAAATTGTTATTCTTTACCTAGAACCTACATTGCTAGTCATAAGGAGGATTCACACAGATAAATTATTTCCCCAAACATGTGTTCATTTCGAAATTTTAACATTACATACTATGGTTATGGAATGATAAACTCCGTGAGTTTAGAGCATGGGATTACTTTCGATACATTTATCCAACTCATATAAATACGTATCAAAATTAAATTAAGTTTTTTGTGCGTAAAAATAAGTATGAACATTTTTTCCGAAATGAATAAAAGCTTGGGTAAACTATTTTCATCTGTGAACTCACCTTACTCTTATTTCTTAATGGATAGTCAGGCTTTTTGTGTTGTTATACTCTGCTGCTGGTGCCGTCGTAGCATTTCCAACTGCTTAAATCGCGTGTATGCGGCACTGGCCACAAGCACCATTACATTCGATGTCCACCAGAGAGCCGATCTGGCGTCGTTGTAATAATGAGTGGCAATGACTGTTTGGACACACGCTTTTGCAGTCCCGGAAATGTTATGCGTTAGAGGCGATGTCACCTAAGAAAAAAGCCGTAAGTTGTATTGAGGTTGATAACAATCCTCTGACTCACCTTTATTTCTAAGGCCGTTACAAACCCAATAGCAAAGCCGCAGAACCCACTAAGTATCATTGCGGCCCAAAACCATCCTGCCAATAGGTGTGGATATGTAATAATAGTTTCCAGCTCTCCGCTCAGTATGATAAGTGGCAAAAAGAGGACAATAGAATAGAGATTGTTATAGTAGCTGAGCAGCCACACCTCCTCATTCACATACGAAAGCGATTTTTTAGTCTGTATAGAGTACATAGCAAGTGCCAAGGAGCTCAGAATACCAAAAATTGTGCCACGCCATGAGAAAACGGTGGTCAAGCTCTCCTGATCAACGCCCAACCAGAAGCCAACAACAATAGCTGCACAGCATAGCAGACACTTAAAGCTGGTACGCTGGCGCAAGATCAGCCATGTAAGTAACACACTGAAGACTGTGGTCAGAGACCTACCAATATAGTAGAAAGCGACGCTGACGTACTTTAACGACAAATTGTTCGCACCAACCATAAGTGTAAATAGCAGTGACAACGGTAGAATTTTCCGAAAGGTGTCTATGTTTAATGGATCACCATTGGGAAAACTGAACACACTTGGATACTTGCGGCTGCAACGGCTCATAGCAAAGCATATAGCGGCACTGACGACGCACTGAAACCATGACATGAAAACTGGCGCTCCCAAATTGACTGACTCACTGCTCAGCAAGTGTTTGTTTACAAAAACTGTAAGAATTGACGTGCTCCTGAAGATATGAAAACATTGTATTGTACATACATATGTATATTAATTGTAAAACAAAATTATCTCACCAATATAGGGTTACAATGAAAAATATCTTAAGATACCGGTTGACCAGCCGGTTGTGCTCTTCCAAATTTTGATACATGATTATACAAATTCGACTAGTTTTTATTTGTGCGTTGCTAACAAGTTAAAACATATGTTATACTGTTTTCCTATCAGCTGTTTTGCGGCTCAAATTTCCCTTATGCCACCCCCTTTAATGAAATAATTTTTAAGAAAAATAATATTTTTCACAAATTCATTGCTCAAATTTATTTAACCAAATGTGGATAAGTTAGTCCTTTGTTAATAACGTTTCTGAGTTTAATGTGTTTATCAATTCAGTATGCAATTTATGTATATTTGTATGTATGTATGTACGAATGCAATTATGCAAAACTCCTTAATTTACTTCGTTGCACCGGACTACTTTTCCCATTCGCGGAATTCAGTGCCTTCCGGTGGTTTTACAGTGACTTTCTCTTTGGATACCTCAGACCAGTTTGTGCTGAGCACAGTGCCACCAGATTCAGAGAAAGATTTGTTCATGGCCTTTTGAACTTCTGGCGAAGATGAGCTGTATATTTTCTTGAAAAGCTGGTTCAACGCCTCCTCGCCCTTGGCGTCCTTCTCTTCCGCCTTCTCCTCTTCGTTAAGTAAGCGATCCCAGTTCTTCGTTTGTATTGTAGGTGCAACTAAGATGGGTTTTTGCTCAAGACTTTGCCATCGCTCGCCAGTCTCCTTGGCCAGTGTTATCTCGACCTTCGATGGGAAGGCTTTGTGTGAAGAACGCTCCACAACAATTGGATGGAGCAATGACAACGTTAGCTCGTATCCATCGGCAGTCATATGTATTTGTTTTGGCCCAATTTTAACCGCGTAGTTCTTTTCTGTGGCGTTCTTGAGTAACACCGTTATAACCACCTTTGATTCCGATTGATACCAATCGTGGCGTACTGACATTATGCTTGCCTTTGTCTCCGAGGAAAATGAAATACAATCAATCTGGGAGGCTATTCTGTATAAGGAATCTGGTTAGTTTAAAATTTGTAGTTGTGATTTACGGTGCAGGGAAATATCTAGAAATGACGCAGCAGCTGTTCGCGAAAATGGTAGCTCAGCTGATATTTTATTTTCGCAATCCACAACACTGGCATAGGAAGTTTTTTCTTCTTCTTCGTTTGCATCGGCACCTGAATGTGGATTGTGAACTTTTCGTTGAATTCAAAAATGTGACGAAAGTAAAACAAAAACGTTGCCAAACTACGTATAAAATTTCAAACATCATTTATATGTATTTAGAATTCAACGAGCATTTGATACGACTTCATACAATATTTTGTAAGGAATAATGAACGGATATAAAATCAAAAATATAATGATAGTCGATTGAGCTCAACTTTTAAATACCCACTCAGACTGTGTGCAAAATTTGGTGTTTCTCTAGCTCTAATAGTCTCGGGGATCAAAGATTTCATACAGACAGACGAAATGCAGGGCTAAGTGGGATCGCCTTGTCATACTGATCATTTATATATGTATATAAGTATGTATATACTTGGTGGGGTCTGCCTGGCCTCCTTCTGCCTGTTGCATTTTTCAATTTGCATAAACTTGCATCGGGCTGGTCACAAAAAAGCAAAGTGGCAGCGCTACGGGAGACGCCGAAATTTGATGATGGGACTGCAGCGCCATCTAGCGGTACCAAGCGAGGCAACTGCAGTCGCGCAGGCGCAGGGTTGTGTCCCGATGGCACCCCAAAGTGGGGAAAAGTCAAGGCCCCGATGAACGGATGCGCAAGGACGTAGATATCTGCAGAGGGACGACATCCGGCGTATAGAAGGCAAGCCGCAACACGCCACTCCTGTTTTTTGGGGCGACCTTTTGGACCCACGGGGCGGCGACCTTTTTCTTTGGATAGTAAGCGGAGACCTGGAATTACAAAAAAAAAAGCGGGTTACAAGCAGTTCGAGGGGGGGCAAACAGGGGCAGGGTCCCACGCGCCGCCCCATTTAAGTTTCTGCAAAAGAAAAAAATAATAAAAATAAAAAATAATACAATAAAAAAAAAAATATATATATATATAACCAAGCCGAAAACGAGGCAGAAAGCGGCACCTAAACAGAGCTTGGTGCTCTATTTAATAAAAAAATGTATACTTACATTTAAAAAGAAAGCTTAGATGTTTCAGTCTAGAAAGTTGTACAAAGTTTGCCAATTGCAAATTTGGAACTTAAATAAATACATATACGCAGTATTGGGTCATATACGACTACTCGCCCATATTTACACTTACTATATACATACATACATATATATACGTACATATAATTACATTTTTACTCTTTACTTATTTAGGAACAAACTAACCGCATTGGGTGTTGGCAAGCCTTTTTCTTGTTTTTGCGTTGATTTATTATCATTTTTTTGTATTAATTTATATTTTATTTCACGCCTGTTAAACTCCTGTATAAACACCTATTTATTAATTTTGCACTCAGTCACATTAAAACATATGTTACATACACGAATTGAATATTTTTTTTTATGGTCGCACAGTCCATTATGATGCAGTAAAGCAGCATAAATAGAGGCGGGAGACTCACCTTTGCCATGGAATAGCTCCAGCACGGCCCAATGATAGGGTATCCATAACAAATGTTACCTTTGGATACAGGTAGGGTGGGTACGCCAGGGATATTTCCAACTGCATCCCATACAGTTGTCCGATATCACAATTCCTGTCCGCCCGCCTGTATGTAATTCCTTTTCACGTTGTCCGGATACGTGGTAGCTGGAGGGAGTAATCCGATTATTTGTTTTTTTCCGTTGCATTACGTTTCTTTTCTTTTATGTCAGTTATTTTTGGTTTGTTTACGTTTGAATTCGGGTTTGTATATTTCGCGTCGAATTTATTTAGTGATGGCTCTTGTGTAGATTATTTGTAATCGATGGAGGAACCGTGTTATCGGTTATTGTGCGACTCACGCGGGCATAGGGTTGGAACCACACACCCAATGAGAAGTTCCGATGAGCCAGCCGGCGTTGCCCAAAGGAATAGCGTAGTCGTAACAATATATTAAATAAATATACATTTATGTAATTGTAAGCAAAGTACACACAGCCCAGCAAAAGCGGACAAGATCTGCTTGTACTTTATACGGGGCGGAAGACCATTAGGCGGATCTTTACCCTCCTCAAATGAAAAATGAGAAACCGCATCAAGGAGAAAATATTGGGAGGTGCTACAGAAACAATGTTGTAAGGAGCATTTGTATAAACAATTAATTGTATTACACCCCCTGACTAAAGAAGTCGATCGGTCAATAATAATCAGTACAAGAGTATATTAGGTTCGTGGGGGGCGAAAAATATAACAGACAAGAGTCGTGACAGATCCTACAAATTATGGCCACGCATGGACACACATACACGTAGACACAATTTCTAGGTAAATGTGAAATTAAACAGGCTTTACGTGAATTCAAATACCCAACATTTTTTTGTTTGTAATATTAGTGTCGTTTTTTTTTTCAACTTTCATTTCTCAATTCTTTAAAATTTCTAAAATTATTCCACATTTCCGTAGAGCATTTCAAAAAAGAGAATTACTCTACTTGTTTAATTTCGTTTTTTTTTTTTTTATAGATTTAAAAAAAATGAAATGCAGCGCATTTACAGCCGTATATTTTGGGCGGGAAAAATGGTATAAAAATGTGTGTTGAATGTGATTCTGCTTATATCTATTCGGGAAAACCATATATTTTAACATTGCCTGCATCCCGATCACGACGATTAAGCTCCTTTTCGTCGCAGGCATACGCCAGCAAATATTGCTTTGGGTGCCACGCTACAGTAAACGTAGATGCGTCGACGTGAATATCTGTGACACGCTCGCCTGTCTCTGTGTACGCAATGTCGATGAGTAGATCTTCGCTAGCCGATGCAATCAATCGCTCGTCGTGACTAAACGAGATTGTACGAACTGGCCATTCCAACCGGCTAATCATGCGCAGACACGCTAACTCATTGGCATCCCACAGCGACACCTGAGCATCTGCTGAGCCTGTTGCGAAGTATTTACCTGTAACGCAGTATATTAAGATGGCATTTCAGGCTGATCGGACATGTTTAAAACTAACCTGTGGGTCCGAATTCAATGCAAATGCAATTCGCCGGATGCGCCTTCAGAGTAATGTGATGCTCCAGACTTGGATAGCTTAAAACGTGCATGCAGCCCATGCCGTTGGTTAGAAAGAATAGATCATTGGTGTTGTTCCAGGATATTTCATTGACTTCGAAACTAAATGGCTCCTCAACGCGTATTTTGTTTGTACGCGTGTCAATGAACGTGATCAAATCCTCCTTGTTGCCGACAGCAATCGTCTTGCCATCTGGCGACCATGCAATATTTATATTTTCACCTTTTGTGTTTGTAACGGACACACAGCCAACACGGATGTCCCACATTCGCACTGTTTTATCGCCGCTGGCAGTGCTGAACAAATCCGGATTACTTTTATGCCAGCACAATTGATCTACGGATGCTGTGTGGCCGCGATATACACTTCCCTTAATAAAGCGATCCCGCTCTAAGCTATAAACCGCTACCGTCTTGTCAAAGGACCCGGATGCCAAGTGACGCCCGTCTGCATTCCAGCAAACTGAATGAACCTGTTAAAAATATTGTAATGACAGCGGACATTTAGCCAATGAAATTACCTTGGACATGTGCGCCCGTTGCTCACGGATTTTGCTGTGACTTCGGAAGTAGGATTTAAGGTCCTCTAAAGTGGCCTCTGTTCGGTTCATAATTGAGTTTTCAAAATTTATCTTTAAATATTATATATCAATACAAAATACGCCGCGTAAATAAGCAATACTCGTCGGCTAGAGATGAGCAATAGAGCTGCCATAAAATATCGATGGGTCTATCGATTTTATTTACTGTTGATTTATACCACTTCGAGAATATTTTAATTAAAAGAAATATATAAAATAATAGTTTATTGTAGATAATTTAAATAGTCCGCTGCAATTACCAATTCCGCAAATATTAATCAATTTGTTGAACAATTTTTTAAAGTTTAATAATTTATTTACCTGGGCACCCCAATTTCGATTGTTTGACGCCTCGAAAGACGATACCCACCATAGGACCTGTGATTTTGTCATAAACTTTTAAATATCTAATTTGTACGTTGTAACAAAATGTAAACATTATTTGACTGGTACCTGTGCCTAAGAGATATTTATTTAAAAATAATAATATAATAATAATTAAAAAGAATAAATAATCAAGCAGACTTAGAGAAATGCAGTAACAGTGTTCTTAATAATGGATCAACTTAGTGCCTAAATTAAAAGTTATTTTGCGGATGGGCAATTTCTCTATAGAAAATAAATAACAGAAAAGGCAAAAAAAGCTAAAAAATGTATATTAACAAATTTAATGTTTAATAACATGGAAATTTCGCAGTGGCACATACAAGTACATATGTATGTATATTGTGACAGTTTAGGGGCTTACCAGTGGCTTCCTAACCGTTGAGTTTTGAATCAGTTATCAGTTACTAATCAAAATGTCCATGGACCCATTAGCTCACTTTCTTAGTAAACAAGGTTACGGAAGTGTGCAGGCTTAGCAAGTGTTTTACAACTAAGCTCGATTCAGTAGACATTTGTGGATCAGATAAGCAACGTCATGCAGATTATATATTTCAGTGCCGTCCTTTTGTACGCACTTGGTTTTGCGTTGGCTTACGGAAGTCCCAGTACAGTGTTTGATATACTTTTTCGAGGCAAGCGTTCGGGTGGCTACTACTTTACACTAAAAACACCTCATTCTGGATATCATAGCAGCAACTTTGGACATGAGACAAAGCGCAAACCACAGCAAAACAGACGCTCTTACCAAGACATTTGCCGTTTGGTCAACGCAAATGGATTCACTAACCCAGGCGGGGTACCCAGATGTCCTTACTAGACGCGCAATTGTGTTTTATAGGAAAAATATATAATTTTAATCTTGGAAATTTTACTAAATATAAATATGTGCAAGAAGCATTAGGTATAAAGACATATGTACACATATGTATATAACAATACACCGAATGTATTATCACTACAAACGAAGAATATTTCGCTGCAACCACAGAGGCGCAACTCAAACGTGTTTCCTTACATATAAAACTTCCATGAACTAATCCTTAAAAAAATGCATTCTACAATCTGGGGTCTGAAAATTGTCTAAAATAGCCGCTTTTGCACAATGTAAAACACGCATGCGAGGAACAGAGAGAATGCGAAGAATAGCAGCATCTTGTCAGTACATTCCCGTCGCCCGTACTTTTTTAGCAGCTTTCCCGACTGCGTTATAGTACCAGCAGTGTTTTGGAGCTCATCGCTGGTTGTCTCGACATTCTGTGATGAAGCTACGAGCGTTTCCAGCGTGATGGCACTCTTCTGGGTTGTCTCCGATAGATGTCGCGAAATGGCCAGCATCTTCTCAGTCACGTCGTTCTCCTGTGACACAAGACTGCTGCGGTTGTGTCGTGCACCAGTGCTTGGCCGTTGTCGAAGGTCACTTTCGCCTGTTATAGCCATTAGTTCTTCACGATTGGCCTTCTCAATTTCGAGCATGGTCAAAACGTTGGCTTTCCGGAATGCCTGTAACGTCTTTGAGAATTGCTCTCGGTGCGTGTCAACCTCCTTTGCCAATGACGGATCTGACATGTCGCGAGCCCAATCGTCTAGGCGCTCAATATTTTTACGGAGCGCCGCCAACTTAGCTCGCCCAGCCTCATTCAGCGCTTCAAGCTCACTGATTGATGTACGGCTGTTTCGAATATCCTGCATTGGAAAGCAAAATTGTTATTTCTGCCTTTTTATTATTATTGTATTTGTCATAACTTTACCTGAATGACGGCCTTAGCCTGAAGATTATTGTCGATCAGGTCCTGCCTAATGGCCTGTAGCGTGAATTTGTCCTTGTCCATACCAACGCTTTGCAATAAACAGCTTCAGATATATATTTTAAACGCTGTCACTAAAAGTATTTTTACGTTTACGACTCAAAGAAACATCATAGTGCTCCAACTACCACAATAAATTTTGTTTTTTTGTTGTTATGGAGGTTTGACGTGGTGTTCGATAGCGCCACTAATTATCGATAAGACCAATGTTTTTAAACGATAGTTTTCGAAAATATCGCTATAGTATCGCCGCCCTTTAAAGCAAATAAACTTGGTAATTTGTTTCAATGTTAGATGCATATAATATGAATATGACATTTCGATCTCACTACATGATGTAGGCCAATATTCCGCTATTGTATTGAAAACGTCTTACGACATATAGCTTTCTTGTTTGGAAGCCTCGGTGCAAAGTTTAGAGTGTTTACAATAGTTTGAAAGTGCAAGTTTGTTTATAGTAATTAATTAATCGATGCGACAGCGATATTGCAATAGAATAATATCGAGCTGTTAAAACACATTTCTATATTTTTCGATTTAATTTAGCTTAGCTAATTTAACATAATAAATTTATTAATTAACTATCCTTTTTCGCATGTGTACATTTGCAGAACAAAGTAGAGGCAAAGCAGCAACAAGAACAACACCTACCGGCAGAGCTTGGGCAGAGTTTACTTTTATGGCTATAACATTCTTTACAATTTACCTATCATGATAAAACTTAACATGATGGCAAAAAGACCCTAACTGGATGCAATTGTCAAACTTAAGTAAATATTTCCACGAATTATGCGAGTTATGGAAAACCACTAATAGCGTAGGAGTGCATGGAGAAGGGCCTGCAAAAGAAAAAATGCGTGCATTGGTCACAGCTCTAGGTGTCTTTTCATACACATGTATTTACTTTGTGGGGTCTGCCACACCTCTTTCTGCCTGTTATATTTTTCACTTTGCACAAACCAATATATACTTTGAAGATTTCATGTACAGAGATTTTTCAAAAATTGATAGTCCGATACCATCGATAAGTACGGACTTTGTGGAGTTCCAGCTCTAGTTAGAGATTCCATACATATCACAATTGCTTTACCGCAAAAAAGTTTGTGTGTTTTTTCAATTGTGTGCATAGTGTCAGGAAGAATACATTTTTATTGGATAATTGCCCTTTATAATGTCGTTGGTAAGTGCGAATGGCAGGAAGTTTTGCAGTGCACATTTCAATTAGCATAGTCGCCTATGCCTGAATCTACAACTCACTAACTTGTACAATTCTCAGATGAAGCAAACCAGCTACTTTTGAATTGCCCGACCACTTGGCTGGTTCCATTATAAAATAAGCGTAAACGGAAGCTGTAAACGGTCAGCAAGGATTAGCAGCTAAAGCAGCACGAGGCTGATGCCTAACACTACGTCCACTGGTACATCCATCGACCTATCTGCAGATTTCACGTCTATCTCGGATTTGGACATGAACAATACATCTGCTTCGACTAGTGCCAGTGGCCAGTCGCTAAATCTTGATACGACGGACACTTTACCAGCGCAGGCTGCAGATGTAACTGGGGATATTACCTTTGATGACTCGAGTATAGATGCAGAGATCGAACTTAGTATGTACTGCCGCTTGTTTATTCTACTGTCAACTAAAAAAAATCGTTTTTTACAGTACATCGCTACTGTGAAAATATAGAAAGGAATTTGTCGAGCATAGGTCTAGGTCCTCCCAGAATGTCTGCATCAAGTGTTCATCGTCTTAGTAGCGACAACAACGACGACGTCATTGTATCAGCATCCACACCCGTGCGTATTCGGGTGAATACTCGTGCTGCATTAAGTAAGTAAAAAGAAAAGTTTAAACTTAATTTATTTGCCTACTGAGCTGCCTAAAATGAAACCCTGTAATTTAATATGTATTATGTAATTTTTATTTTTAATATTAATTACATTTTGTAAATTAAAACAAGAAAAGAATGCTTAATAGTTCTTAAATACTCTGGGTACACAAAAAAAAACATTGTAAATATAATTTAAATTCAATTTTTATACCCTAATGGTAAAAGATAAAAAGTATACTAGTTTAGTGCGAATGTACATACATACATATGTAACATATGTAACACACAGAAAGAGATGTGGCAGACTCAAAACGTATGTATGTATGTACATATGTTCTCGATCAGCCTGATAAGACGAGTCGATATAGCAAGGATGTCAGAAGGAGCAAGAGCTAAAATAACCGAACTTGGTACCTAAGTTTCCAAAAGTCCTAGTCAGATTAAGTTTATGTTTTTTTACTTATGCTTCGCTTTTAATGATTTTCCATAATTCCTTGGAATTATTTACTAATGCGACAATTACATTTAGTGCCTTTCTACCATCATGTTAAGTTTCATCATGATGGGTCAGTTGTTAAAAAGTTATAGCCATGAATGTAATCTTAGCCCAAGCTCTGCCTGTACCCTAAAGATACCAATGATATATTAGATTTATACTAAGGGAAAATTTTGCAAGTAGAAGTAAGAATTTCCTATGCCATAAAGTATAACCCCTTAATATATACACATAAGTACATACATAAAAAAATGAAGAGTCGAGGCTTAATACGAATTTGAATAAACTAAACTAAATAAACTAAACTTAGACCGAGTATTCCTATTCATCGGTCTAAGCATCAATATTTTTGTAAATTTTATTTTCCCGATTTTGGTTGATTAAAGTTAAAGATTTAAGCAGCTCAACATTTGATGTATATTATAACAATTATTAATTTCAGGAGAACCCGTAGACTTTATTGACTTGTCGGATCATGAGTTTCGCGCTCCCGCCTTTTATCTGCCAACCAATGATGTTATAGACCTTTGCACACCTGAGGGACCAACCTTGCAAAGTAACCGCGCAACACCTGATATATCGATTATACCCCCGAATCCATACCGTCGTAGACGTATAAATACCACTGTGGAAAACTCTTCTACGCAGCAGGGAATATGTATTATTAATGAAGAGGAAAGTGGTTCATCACCAAAGCGCTCTCGCGATGAAAGTGATGACGGCTCTTATAAGTGTCCGGTATGCTTGGAGTCAGTAAGGCAGCGCGAACCCATAACAACCAAGTGCGGGCATGTTTTCTGTAATTCCTGTATACAAGCCGCTTTGCGAACCACGCACAAGTGCCCTTTGTGCAACAAGAAGATGACCGCTCGCCAAATTTCCCGTATTTATATTTAATGGAAGTCAGGAATGTTCTACACATATTTTTTTTTGTTTATTTCCTTACATATTATCGTTTACTCATTTATGTTCTCATTTGCATTAATTTTTGATTTCTAAAATGTAAGTTATGCTGTGGAGTTTTGATCAATCTTTATTTTATATTTGCGATTACATTGTCATATACATGATAAGTTATGATAAGTTATTATATATTACCTATCAATGTATTAATGCTAAAGACTGTTAAAGTTATAAAAATATTTCAAAGAATGCTACTTTTGTAAACGCCCTGTTCATGGTATCGCCAGCATCGAAGATTTATGCGCTGACCAGGTAAAAGAAAACTGTTGCAAATATATTCATAAGTACAAAAATTAAACAAATAATTTTGTTATTTATAGAGTCCAAACAAAACAGCACTGCTCGCTTGTAATACTAATTTTAAGAAAATACACAAGGGAAAATGATAAAATGTTAATCCATGTTAGTCGCGAATGCAATGCACTCTTTGCCGCATTTAAAAAAAGAAGGGGACTTTAATTTCCAAATTCCACAGTCCCCTAGACTAACGCGTGCCCATCTAAACCATTATTGACAAGGAAGATGGTGTAGCCATGTATGTTCGCCTGTTTAAATAAAGCTTGCTTTCCGGAAACGAGGTGACCTTGAGCGATCAAGCTGGTTATTTTGTGTGCTTAATTCCATAAGCTACACATGTTAACTTTTTTGTATTCCTGTACCCTAAGGGTAAAAGGGTATACTAGTTTTGTACTACTAGTTTTGTACAAACTTGCTATTCATATTCTCCTAAGCCCGAGAAAAATCAAGTTTTTATACTCTGCACATGAAATGTACAAGAGTATATTAGGTTTGTGGGAGCTGAAAATGTAACAGGCAGAAGGAGGAAGTATATATATTCTTGTTCAGCATGACGAGACGAGTCGATCTAGCCCTGTCTGTCTGTCCGTCTGTAAGTATGAACACCTGGATCTCAGAGACTGTAAGAGGTAGAGACACCAAACTTTGCACAAAGATACGTTATGTGTGTACGCTGTTTGTTTTATTTTTTTGATTCCTCCCACTTCCCCCCTATGGGGGTTTTCCCGATTTTTCATTCGTATAATCGGTTATATCTCGGAGACTATAAGACCTAGGCACACCAAATTTTAGTCCAAGATGCCTTGTGTGAACAGAAAATGTTTATTTTGAAATTTCCCTCCCTCCCCCCTCTTCCCCACAATTAGTGATCTTTCATAACTCCCGTAATTCGATTCGAACTCGAATTTTGCCAATACCCCCAGTTAGAGGTTATGTGTCCGTATGCCAAGTTTCATAATGATAGGCCGATTTAACAGGAAGTTATAGCCATATGTGTATATATGTTGTTACTGCTTTGCAAAGGCACACGAGACATACCCAAACACACACATACACGCATAATTATTCTACACATATGTATGTACAGAGCATTTCAAAGTCCGTACTCCCTATTTTAGCTTCTCTACTTGTTAATAATTATTTTTTAATATCTTTCTTTTTGGTGGGTGTGGGCTCCAAAATTCCTTTCTTGTTAAAGTTTACAATTTATTCAGTTAGAGCAAACATATCGTCAGAGCTGCTATGCTTTACATTTCTACAGACCAGATGAACATGTATTCAACTAGAGAAGATTGCTTTTAAGCATACAAGTGGATGAACAAACAGTTAAATTTGGATTGATAAGGAAGGTATATATGTATATACATTTATTTATATACTTTCTATTGTATTGAATTGAGAAGGGCAAGTTTCCAATGCAGAAACTATTCAATGAAACGTAAGCGACTTGAAACTAAAATACAAAGTATATTTACGAATATAGGCTTATTTGCCGACAATATACATACTATATGTATATACCAACGAATAAAGTATCGAAATTTATAATTAATGCCCGAAAATGGAGTCCCGTAGCCGCACCACGATAATTGCCGTGAATCAACCTGAAGAAGACTTGTCCCACGAGCGGTTTCGACCCATATACCCACAGCTGCTGCCAATACGTGATGTAAGACTGCAAGTAGATGAGAATGGCTTCACGACTCCCGAGAGAGCAGCTCTTCGTAACACTTGGCGGTTTGTTGAACCATTTCAGCGGCGTTTCGGGAAGCAGTCCTTTTATGCGTGAGTGCGAAGAGCCAATAAATTGTTACTTGGTTAATAACGACCCCTTCAGTTTTATGACCGCTCGGGAAATGGTAATTGAAACTTTTCGCTTCGATAGAACGATTGATGTGTCCCGTCTGCATTGTCATGCAATTTGGATGATGAGAACATTGAGTAAGCTAATAAGAAATTTTATGGATCTTCTATTGCATTCGGAATTTTAGATAAATTGGTAAATGTAATCGAGTCAGTTACTGAATTTCGTACAGCCTTAGAGGAGTGCATTCCCGCCCATTTGAAGTGTGGAGTGGATTCAAATTATATGAGGGTGATATACATATAATGTTTATCTACATATATACCTAAATATATGTATGTTTGTATATTATTTCTTTTCGACAGATGCTTACAGACGTTATTAAGGATTATTTGGTAGAGTGCCCAGAGCTTTGTAACAACGTCTCGCCAACACTAAACAGAGCACTGGATCATCTTTTCGAACTTATTAGCAACTCTATGCATGCGGGGCATATGCGCAAGAAAACGTTATCTTCCATGTATCTAGCAGTGCAACAATCTGAGACCCAAGTTAGTGATTCAAATAGACCATCGGCTACCCAAAAAGCAGCTTCAATTAATCCTGAAGCGACATCTTTGTAGTTCCGAAAATTGTGTATTTTTCTCTCTCTAAATAATGCGGTGATTTAAAATGATATTTTTGTTAAGACTAATAAACTACTAAATTTAAGTGAATTAACCACAAACTCTTCAAGACAACAGGTTCATTCACTTGATAATTGTGGTGTAACATACATACTCGTATATACATACATACATACTTGTACATACACATGTACATAGTTCATTCTTACTTACACTAACTAAATATGTACATAGTTACTTATAAGGTGAGTGCAGGGGCGTACCAAGGGGGAGAGAGGAGGGGCCATTCCTACAAAAAAAATTTCCATATAAAATAGACCACACGTTCATTATTATGACGAACTATTTTGCCTTAAAATGGAACTGAGTGAAATTTGTTGAAGTTTTGTCATTGATCATATGCATAAATTATTTTTTAAATGCATCGTGCAGTATTTAATCAAAATTTTAATGTTTTGGCTCCCCCCTTTTGTAAAAGCTGCGTACGCCCTTGGGTGAGTACCAAAGTTCATAATCTTGCACGCAGATAATACATACATATGTCAAGACCGACCAGATTAGACAATTCTATTATAATATTCCCGATTTGAAATACCGTGAAGAATATTTATAAAAACTTAAAAAATGAAAAAAAAAAAAATCACCAAAAGTAACATTTTAAAATTTTTTTGGGCGATTATACCCAAAGAAAGCACGTTTTAGGTCGATCGGTTGAAAAATGTGGATTATTCAAACAAATTTTGGAGCTCGAATTTTTAAAAATCCTTTCTTAGGGCACATCTACACTATAATAGGACACTTGAGCCCAAATTTCAGCTTCCTAGCTTTTACTGTTTGGGCTGTGGGCTGTTGACGCGGTTTCCTGGTTTGCGGGAGCTGCAAGTGTAACAGGCACACCTCACAAAGTATATATATTCTTGATCAGCATGACGAGACCAGTCGATCTAGCCCTGTCTGTCTGTCTGTATGAACACCTGGGTCTCAGACACTATAAGAAATAGAGACACCAAAATTTGCACAAAGATGCGTTATGTGTGTATTCTATACGAGTTTGTTTTATTTTTTTGATTTTCCCCCCACTTCCCCCCTATGGTGGTTTTCCGTATTTCCCATTCGTATAATCGCCTATATCTCGGAGACTATAAGACCTAAAAACACCAAATTTTAGTCCAAGATGCCTTTTGTGAATACGCAGAAAATGTGTATAATTTTGTATAATTATAATTTCCCAACCTCCTCCCTCTCCCCCACAACTCGTAACTCCCGTAATTCTTGGAATTTCTAACTCAAATTTGTCAGTTAGTCATTATGCGTCCGTATGCCAAGTTTCACTATGATAGACCGATTTAACAAGAAGTTATAGCCATAAATATATTTGCTGCTCCAGCGCTGCCCGCGGCTGTTGTTGATGCTGGTGCTTTGGTTGACTGCAAACATGCTCACACAGACACGAATAGACGCACATAGACATTCATACACTCACATAGACGCAATTCCTATGTAAATGTGCAATTATGCATCCTTTACGTGAGTTCGAATACCGAGAGTGGTAAAATCGACATTTTTTTTAAATTTTCTTAATATTTTTTTAAATTTCTATAATTATTCTAAACATATGTACAGAGTATTTCAAAATCGGGACACCCGACGTTAGCTTTTTTACTTGTTTAACTTACGTAAAGGGTGTATAACAGCACATTTACATAAAACTTGTGTCTATGCGAGTCTATGTGAGTATGTATATGCGTGTCTGTGTCTGCGCTTAGCTGCGCAGAGCAGCAACAACACCAACAGCTGCCGGCAGAGCTTGGACAGAGATTATATTTATGGCTATAACTTTCTTCATAATTGACCTATGGTGATGAAACTTGCCATACAGCCACATAATCACTATATGGTATTTGCCAAATCTGAGTACAAAATTACGGGAGTTGTGGAAAAAACGCGAATTGCGGTGGAGTGTATCAGAACAAATAACGAACATGAGCTTCATAGGGCTTAATGGAACCTAGATACCGAGTTTGGTTATTGTAAATATTATTGGCTCTTGTACTGGCTGAGATCTTTACGATCATACAGATGGACGGACAGACGGGCCTCTTCTAAAAAAATGATGACCAATGCTGCTACTTATGGTGGAAAGCTACAGAGAAATCCACATACTATAAATCGATGGAATATACTCCATGCCAATGCCTCGTATGTGCGCTGAGATCTACCACAAACATCATCTGCTCGAAATCCTTTAGGAGCGCAGGGAGGCGGTAAACAAGCTAAATGCCGAGAAAACGGCTTACATCTACTGAACTCCGACTCACCGGGCGTTGAGGGCAACGACAGACAATCTGGCAAAGAAAAGATCAGAGTTACACCAGGCACACAAACAACTTACTCACCTCAACGACAACTACAGCTGCTGGAAGAGATTACATTTATGGCTATAACTTCCCTTGAAATTGGCCTATCACAATAAAACTTCACATACGGACACATAAGCATCAACCGGAATTGCAGACATGTGGCTAAAGTCATGGTAATGAAGAATATATTTACTTTATGGAGTCTGCCAAGCTTTCTTTTGCCTTTTACATTTTTATACCCTGTACCCGTAGGGTAAAAAGGGTATATTAGGTTTGTGCAAAGTATGTAACATGCAGAAGGAAGCATCTCCGACCCCATAAAGTATATATATTCTGAATTAGCATGACGAGAGAAATCGATCTAGACATGTCCGTCCGTCCGTCCGTCTGGATGAACGCGAGGATCTCAGAAACTATAAAAGCTAGAATAACCAAAGTTGGCATCCAGATTCTCCTAGGTCCGAGAAAGGACGAGTTTATTTTATTTTTTGGAATTTTCCCCCCCTTCCCCCGCTACAGAATTTCGTCAATAGCGTCCACATTTCAAATGCTACCTAAACCAAACTTTACACACATAATTTATATATAGACAATTGTCTACTGTTGTTTAAAATTTTATTCAATTCGGTCAATTGTAAGAAAAGTTATTAGCGAAACAAATTCTCGCCAGTACAACCTCCCCAAACTGCAGCAACAAGTTCGCTCTTCTTCTTCCTCTTTTTGCTGCTGCTATGGGCGCATATAACTCAGTGACGGAAGTTTACCTGGGTACAGGGTATTACACTGTCGGGCTTGCTCGACTGTAGCGTTCTCTCTTGTTAAATTTGCACCATCCTAATATACTTCGACATTTCAGTTACAGAATATAAAAATAAAATAAAAACAAGAATGGAATGCTAGAGTCGGGCGGACTCATGATCTTGTCCTGTCTGGGGCTTAGGATAACCAATATACATATCTAGTTTGGTTATTGTAGCTCTTGTACTTCCTGAGATAAACATGACTAAATCTATATATAATGTACATATACATATGTGTTATATACATATGCAATAAAGTATTATACCCTTTTGCCCTTTGGATATAGCGTACAATAAGTAACATACCTAAACGTGCATAGGCTTCTCTCACTGGATAAGGCGACAAAATAGCTCTGTTCACCAAACTGATCACCAAAACCTGGCATTTCTAAGGACCAACTTGAGTCTATGTGAGGCTGGCGTGTTGCCATTTCAGCCTTTTTCTGGAGAGATCTGTCCTTTTAGCCTCTCTGGGCTGACACTCCCCGTCGACCAACTTTTGTCCGCCTAAGGGGAGTAGGGATAAAGGGATACTTAAATAATTAGTACGATCGTATGTTTTAGAAAAAGTGACTGCCTAAGAGAGGTGCCCGGATAAAACAGATGTCCTTTAAGAGCATTTTCACTGTACATATACATATAGATATATATTCACAATTAGCATGACGAAAGAAATCGACTGAGAGACGTCCGTCCATCTGTCTGCATGAACGCATGGGGTTCGAAAACGGCTGAATTAAACAAAATCAAAATTGTGATTAAAAATTGCACGATGCGTTTAAATAATAATTTATGCATATGATCAATAAAAAACTTCAACAAATCCAACTCAGTTTCATTTTTAGGCGAATTAGTGCACCATATTACGACTTCATATTGCGAAAATTTGTATAGGGGGTAGGGGGCAATGGCCCACTGCCTCTTGCGTACGCCCTAGTATATGCACATATGTATGTACATAAGTACGTGTATAAGAGTAAATTCTTCAAAAATCTAGACTAATTAATCATATGCTTGATTCGCTAGGTACATCCATATCACAAAATACCATTAGTATTCTAAATGCATCCCATTTTTATTACATTGAAATGTTAGCTACAAATCGAAGCAAAAACGACGTACACTGCCGTGAACCACTATGTCGAACCGCTATTTACTTTTTTAGCGGGTAACATCCCTGGTCTGCTTCGCTGCTAGCGTCGCGTCGCGCTGCAACGTCGTCGTCGTTGCTGCCGATTAGTGATATCAGCCGGGCGGCCGTACTACTGGCGTTTAATTTGTAAGCGTTTGTTTCCTTTAAGAAACTCAGTTTTGTTCTGACGCTCAGCGCTCGTCCATCTACACGTTTTGGCAGTAAATCGCTATTTGAAAATCATTTAAATACCTGTTCGTATGTACAATGTGCGCCTACTAAGAAAAAATTAGTATTTTTTAACATTTATTTTAAAGGAAAGCAAATATTCCAGTCATTAAAGTGAATTATTTGGTGTCTGTGTTTTATTCAAATTATTGATATGGTTGCAACCGAAGTCTATCAGAAGGTGAGCCTGTGTGGAAAATAAAAAACAAGAAGTTTTTAAAACAATGACGTTATGGTTCACATCGTTATACTCACATTGAGTAGTAATTCTTTGAATACCATATAATATGCCATTATATGTATTTATAAAATTAAATTATAGATATTTTTTGTAAACTTAAATGCAGTTGCTCTTGAGAATAAATTTATTCGATACTACTGCTTTTTATGATTAACATCTGTTATACGGATAATTCTTTTCTTAAATATCTACCTTCATACATTCATACGCCTAAATATGTAATATTTATGGCAGCACAGAAAAACTGTTAAGTTATCAAATATATTTGATTTATTGTAAAATCATGTACCCTATTTACCCGTATAGTTACGCATTCACAAATACCCAAACATGTACTTAT